GAATTTTTTTTTTATTTTTTTTTTTTTTTTCCCCTTCGGTTAAGAAACTATTAGGAATCTTAATTAAAGAAATGTCAGACCTGATTGACATCTAAAGTCCAAAGCTACCCTATCTGGGTTTTATAAAGAATTATTTAGTAAATAATTTTTCACGGTTATGTCAGACTTTCCCCACTTGAATTCAGACACTTGCTTTCAGTTGTACTTTATTTAATCAAAACTTGTTTGTCATTAATTTTCCCAAGGTTGTTTGCTGTGACAAGGACTTCTGTACTGTTATTATTTTTCCCAAGGTTAAAATGCCCTGTTTTGATTCAGTAATAATAAAAAAATTATTGAACCCAGGAATGACTGAACTTTATTCTTGTCAGAAATGTTTCTCCTCTGACCTATTTAAGAAAGAGAAATAATTCATAGTACAGTCTTAGTGTTACTAATCTATTGTTAGGAATCTCTATTAATACAATAATCTTATCCAGAGGTACCTCTGTGCTAGTTAAGACACTGTGCCCAAGGATGTTCCAAACAGGGGTGCCTGCTGGCACAGCCTAACCTGTGTCAGTGCCACTCCATTTCTTGCCTCCCACACACAGCGTTGCTGCATGCAAGCTATCTCCTGGGAATGGCCCCTGGAGCACTTGAACTGAAAAACCCTTGTCAAAGAGTTAATGGTGATTAAAATGGGCCATACTCAGCTCATTGAGGACTCCAGCAGTTTATTAGCAGCCTGGGAGCACTAAGTCACATCTGGATTTATTGTTGTAGATGCCCTCTCATAATAATGGCTTACAGAGTTATTCAATCTATGCTATTGCTGTTTGTTTAGCATGTGCAAATATCCCTGCCTCTTCTGATTATTTTTCTCTGCATGTCCCAACATTGCTGATTTTCCTTTACTATTTTTCTATGAAACTTTTGCATTATTTCTATTATTGGTAATACAGCCTTAGCTTTGCTTTGAGTTCCTCCATTGTATCGCCTAGGCTCTGTATGGTTTCTGTTTTCAGATACTCAGCTGTCTTTCACCCATTCGTTTTCTAGCTCCACCAGAGTAAATACAGTTCTGTCACTGTTTTCAGCTGTCCGGGTGAAGTGGTTATTGCATGTGTATTCAGCCAGAAGGCAGGGTTGTTAATTGAGTCTTTCCCCAATAGCAGTTACCAAGGCTATGACAACAGATGAGAACAACTTGCAAATACCATTTTTCTCATGGACAGACACCCTTAAATAGTTTCTGTGTAGTCTGTTAATAAATCTTTGACTTAATTTTTAATACCCTCTTACAGCCATTAGGATGAAAAGGGAAAAGAAAAACAGGTACTTAATTGCTTCTAATACTTTGTCAGAATATGCAACCCTCTGTAGCCTGTTTATTTGAGCCTTATTTTCACTTGTCCTCACATGAAGTGCTATCAGTGAACACTTTCACTTTCATTCAGTCCTTTCTTGCATCCAGCCACTTTTGTCACCTGTCAGATAAAGCAACTTTTTTTTTCTCCTCATTGCAAACCCATCATTTCTTAACAATTGGGGAATCTCATTAAATTCGTATTCACTCCCTTCAAATTGTTGTTCCATTTGTTTTTCTTTCGATGTTGTCATAGTACTTGCAAGTTCCTCTGGGTTTCCATGTATTCCTGAGAGACTTGCTGCTTTTTTCCTTTCCCTTGCAACCTGTTTCAGTTTGGCATTCTTTTTATTTGCAGCAGGTCTGTTACTCAGCTTGTCTCTGTTATCCAACTGTTTTCTCAGCTGGTCACTACATGCTGAGAAAATTCCTGCATTGATTTCCCCCCACCCCCCCCACCTGTTATAGGTTTATTTTGCTTATCCTTAACTTCATCCAGGTGTTTGTCAGGACTCTAGCATTTGATTTGGCTGTTGCTTCAGTTGTTGATTCTTATTTTTAAAGAATTCTAACATGTGATGGGTCAGGCAATTACAGTGCATTGGAAATAATCTTGGGCATTACATTAGTACAGGATTCCCTAAGAGAAGCATTCCTGATACTTGTCCTACCTTCCCGGAGCTCTTCTGCTTTTGCACAGTAACTGTAACTTTGCTTAAAACTGGAAAGAAATACGTCCTTGTGTCTAAGGGCATGTGATTCCTGTAAGAGAAGTTTTTCAGGATTATAAGAAAACATAATACAAAATTGAAAGAGAGGATTTGTGTAGGATCAAGCTAGTTACTTCTTCCTTTTTTGCTTTCTAACCCAAGAGCAATCCTCCTGGGTTAAACATGGCTACATGTTTATTTTAGCTTTCACATTGGTAAAAATTAATTCTGTCTTTAAAGCCAGATTTATCTTTGCTTTTGCTTTCTTGCATTCTAAATTCATGGTAGCATTTCCATTTGGCCTTTTTTTGTTGTACTTTTAATTGCTTCTTCACAATTTAGGAGGCTACAGCACCTGGAAACCTCCAGAGCAGTGCAAAATTTACAATTCTCTTAAGAGGATTGGATGTTTCTTTCTTCATCCACGTTGCGGTACCCGAAGAGAAGCAGCAGACTTTGCTATCTGTGTTCACGTAAGTTGGTGTCCACTTTCTTGATTATTGGGTTTTTATATCCAGAGAAGAGTGGCAGGTGCCAATACCTGCTATTGATGTTAAGTACTAACTACAGATTAGTTTCTTAGATTCTCCTCATGTGACTTCTACGTCCACTAAAAAAAGAAAACAGCCAATAAATTGAG